GCAGGTTTTTGCTGTGCTATTTTTACAACATTTATTTTTGCAAAAACTCATGCTATCACTTTTCATGCAGTCATTAAAACACATTCAATGTAATTTTTTTTAAAAAAAAAAAAACCATACACACACATTCTAAAACCTAGTCAAGGTAAAATGAAAAAGAAAATAACACTATTCTTTAAGTAATCAATGGCCAATATTCTTTAGGTAATCAAGGGACGTGATGGCTCAGTGGCTAAGATGCCGAGCTTGTCGATAAGAAAGGTCGGCAGTTCGGCGGTTCGAATCCCGAGCGCTGCGTAATGGACAGAACTCCTGTTACTTGTCCCAGCGCTGCGTAATGGACAGAACTCCTGTTACTTGTCCCAGCTTCTGCTAACCTAGCAGTTCGAAAGCACACAAAAATGCAAGTAGAAAAATAGGGACCACCTTTGGTGGGAATATAACAGTGTTCAGTGTGCCTTCGGCATTTAGTCATGCAGTCCACATGACCATGGAGATGTCTTAGGACAGCGCTGGCTCTTCGGCTTTGAAACGGAGATGAGCACTGCCCCCAAGAGTTGGGAACAACTAGTACATATGAGCGAGGGGAACCTCTACCTTTATCTTTAATCAATGGCCATGTGCAATGTGAGGTGTCATAAGCATGTAGTTGTCCCTGCTTGGGATAAAAGAGCATCTCCTCATCAGAAACAAAGTTAAAAATCTAGAATTCAAAAAACCGAGATGGCCACTAGTTGGCAGCAAGTTTGGTCAAAGTTAGATGAACCATGCCAACAAATTGAGGGCAAACCACATTCATCAATCAGCAACTGGACATCAAAAGTTTTTTTATATAAAAAAATGAGTTCCCTCAAATGGCCACTTCTTTTTCCTCCCTTTGAATCTGTCACTTGACTACTTACCCTGGAATCAGAGAGAGAACCTGCTCTAATTTTAGAGCAGATCCATGAGATTCTTACTATAAGTAGCAACAACTTCCTAATTGATTTCTGGAACTCTAGAAGGAGCCATTGCTCACAGGTTTCTACCTCTACAAGGTCAGGATCTTCTGAAGAACCCTCAAGAAGCAATATAAAAGTCAACATTTAAAGCCCAGCCTCACCATCACCAAGCCTAGAATTCATGGTCTACTGGTTTCTAGTCCAGCCCTTCAGCCCCTTCTCCAGACTGGCTTTCTTCTACATTAGAATACAGAAAAGTAGGTTTAAGTAGGTAGATGGGTACAAATGGATTTATTTTGTCTTTCTCACTTTGAGCTTTGTTCCACCCAAGTTCCTTATTTAGGACCCTTATTGGTTTTGTCTAGAAAAAGCTTTGGAACAAAGCTCAACAAATTGGATTCAGACATTGACATGAAATCTGAACTGTCTTCTCTTGTAGCTAAGTTTTTTTTTTTTTTTACCCCAAAGTAATACAGCTGGATGGAAAATTCCAAAGCAACTTATTATAGCATTTTAAGGTGGTAGGTGATAATGTAATCATTTCTCTCCCTCTCCCTCCCCCTCTCCCTCCCCTCTGTCCATCTGTCCATCCACCCACCCACCCACCCATTCATCCATCTGTTGTGGCCCACCAGCAGAGCTGGCAGCAGATTCGGACAGGGAGGAGGTTGGGGAGGAACATGAGCCAGTCCTGGAGGCTGGGGANGCAGAACTGCAGTCAGCTGAAGTAGCCTGCAGTGCTGCATTTAACCACTGCGCTACCTCGGCACCTCAGAAAAAGGATGCATCCGATTTCTCTCTATATATGCCAGCACGAGGACCTGTTTTCACCATCCTAAACTCATAAATAGCAGAAAATGAAGGATGTGTTGGATGGATACAGAAGAGCATATCGTGTTTCCCTGAAAATAAGACAGGGTCTTATTTTCTCCCCCCACCCCAAATAAGCACTTGGCATTTCCGGGTAGGTCTTATTATTTTTGAGGTGCAGGAGGTGGCGAGCATCGTCACCTCATGGCTGCTGCTGTGCTGCAATCTTTTCAGGGAGGGCTTATTTTCGGGGGAGGGCTTATTTTAGCGCATGCGCTCAAAAGCCCGATTGGGCTTACTATAGGTCTTATTTTCGGGGAAACAGGTTGGTTGAAAGCAGTTCTGAGTCTGATCCCGAGCATTAGTGCAGGTGAAATCAGCGAGTATGACTTAAGATGTTTCTTTTGCAGTAAAAAAAATAAAAATAGCCATAGGCATAGTCAAGGCCAATAGATATCTGGAAATTCATTGTGGACTACGCAACCCATCCTGCCTTTGCTAGGTCAGGGCTACCAGTGTAATAGTGAGGACCGGAATATTAACCTTTCACTTTTAAGAATGCAGCTGAGATCCTGTAGAATTTGCTAAACTCATGAAAAGCTACACTAGAAGACATATTTTGTGAGTTGAAACAGTGCAGCAAACCAACATTACTCATTGTTATACTATAAATATTCCAGTCTCAAATATATTTGAGGGGTGGGGTGGGGTCTCTAGCTATTAAAATGGTAGGGAGAAGGCTGTCTCACTCAGGTAAGTCCTGTCTCTTCGTTATATCCCTACTCCTGCCCCTTGGCTGAGGGCTGTCTTTTGAGTTTGATTTCCATTCTACTTTGATTTGTGTTTTGTTTTTCCTTCCTTCATTATTTCTCTTTTTCCCCCCTCTTTTTTTCCCCATTTTTCTGTTTATATTGGCCTCCCTTCTTCTGTGGTGGCTTCAATCCCTTCGCTTATGTGGTGGCCGCTGTCTGTCCCCCCGTGCCTTTGGTTCTTTGTTGTGTGCTGTTTGCTCCACCTCTTCTTTTCCTTTCCCGCCTTTCGTGCACCTGTCTTTTCCACATCACTCCCTTTGGGATGTTGCTCGGGGTTCCCCCTTGTTTCCACTTTACCCTCCCTCCCCCTGTTTATACTTCCACTTTTTGGTGGTGGGTGGAGATGGATATTCTTCTGGTGTTCCATTTTCTGGGACCCCACCTTCCTTCTCCCTTTGTTGCTGCTACTTCTGCTTCTCACTGGTGTTTCCCCTCCTACCACTCCCCTTCTCTCCTTTTGCTGATGTTCTGTTCTCCACTGTCCCAACACCACATTCCCCGGCCACCTGTGTACCCCTCCATTGCTCCTGCATCCTCCATACCCCTCCCTCCCATCTGTCTGTCTGTGGGCTTTTCTCCTCTCCTCCCTCTCCTGCCCCCCAGGCCCCACAGTGAAGAGTGTGCATCCCAGCACCTCCCGCAGCCTTCACGCCTTCCTGCACCACTACGCAGGCTCCTTCCGCAGGCCCCGTCTGGCCGTCAGCCGCAGCCTGAGCTCTCACCTCGGCCGTACCTCCCGATTAGGTGACTATTGCACCTCCCACTGTGCTGCCAGTAAGGGCTCCCCATTGTGGGTTGAGGCCACAAGTCAAGCCAGCCTAACTTCAAGGGAGGCTTTTCGGAGTCCCGGTTAACTTATTTATGCACCTGAGCCTCTTGTGTCAAGATGGGGTACATCAATTCCTTGAGTAAGGAGTCTGGGGGACCCAGAGTCTTGCATTTCTGCTCCAGAATGAGGTTGGTAAGGAAGTTGAAGTCTCAAATTACTAGGGCTCACTTGAAGAGAAATTAGCCTTGGTCTTATCCAGTGCATCATTCTGAATCTCTGTGTTTTATTCTGGCTGGTATCACTCACTATGCTAATGCATAGTATGGTTTCTTAGCCCAATAAGTGAAACTCGTATTACAGCAGGTGTTGTCCCTAAAGCTAAAGGTAGATTTTTTCAGTAATTATGATTTAAAAATCCTGACCTAGCATAATGTGTGAACCTGGCCATGATGTCACATTTACTTTTTATTAATTATTTTTCCTGGGCTATTCTAAGTGCCCTCCACGTTTGTGCCAGGTACATCCTCTGTATAAGATGATTCTGAGCAGAAATTGATTAGCCCAATCTTCTGTGAGAGATGAAAGATTGAAGTGCTTTAGGAATAAAGTAGGAATCTTTTCATAAGACCACCCTGATGTTGCTCTCTAGAGAGTGCTGAGCAGCTGGACCAGTGGCCTTACTCAATATGGAGTGATTTGCTGTCCTTTTAAATCAGCCTTTCCCAACCAGGTAACTTCCAGGGGTATTGAGTTATAATTTAATTTACTGGGATTTGATACTTCCTGATTCCAAAAAAGACACTTTTGGCCTATGACACATAACAATGACTATGGAGCCTGGGAATGTGGGGAGTTAAAAGCATTAGGTAAGAAAATGCTGTTTTGGATTCTTTAGAGTATCACTGACATGAATTCATCATGTAGCTATTTTTAAAAAAATGCTAAAGCAGATCTCAAGGTTCATGTTGTGTTTAAAAAAGATGCACAGAATCAGAGAGCCAGTGTAATCCCATTCCCAGAGCAACTTTCCTAAATCTGGTGCTCTTTAGATGCGCTGGACTACACTTTCCAGTGCCTAATGCTGTCTGGGGAAGATGGGTGATGCTATTGCTTCTTAACGGCATCATGTTGAGGAAGGCTGGCCCACAGTGGTATATACTTTTGATTGTTACATACTTAAATATGATACTGAACATTTAGAGGACCTTTTACATGAGATTGTGAAACTACCGTAACATAATTATAAGTAACACAATTAATTAAACTATGTTATTAGAAATGATTAATAAATCAGGGAATAACTGGGTGTATATTTATACTGGACGATTTTAATGTTTTTATATGCCCATAGTTGCTCTGAAATGAGATAGGCTAAATGAATTTAACAAACAAATGAAGTGGACAGAAGGAGATCAGAATATGTTATCCCATTTTCTGATCTTACCTATACCCCCCTATAGCTGAGTAAGATAACTAAGTAGGTTGTAGAACTTAAGATCCTGCTAATAAAGGATAATTACATGGAAGAGGGAAAGCATAACGAAGGCTCTTACATGTTGTTGTAGCTTTTTATATGAAGGGAACCCCCTAAAATTGTGATCAGTCTAAAAAAGTGAAGCCCAGTCTATCCTCTATAGCCATATAGCCTTACTTTTCTTTGAGAAGGTACAGCATGGTGGCAACATGTCTAAAACTTCTGGAGAGATAGAATTGAGATTGCCCCCCCAAAAAAACTGGGGGAAAAATCAGTGTTGGGTTGCTATATGTGGAATATTCATAAAATGGTTTCAGACTGAAAGAAGGGCATTTATGTAAAACATTTACATAAAACATTATGCTTAGAGGTTGACAGCAGCCACTTCCCAACTAATGCCCACCAATTGTAATGGGATTGCAGTCCTAGAGGTTTCAGTAAGCATAGCTCATGGCCTGGGAATGATGGGAGTTCTAGTTCCAACACATTGGGCTGATCCGTTGCTTCCTTCTACAGCCCAGCTTTACAAACATTGGAGGGAATGGGGTGAGTCCTCTCTGCCCACCGTGTCTTCATCTGCATTTCTCCTTGGTGTAGAAATTGTTCATGAGGACCTCAAAATGGGTTCGGATGGTGAGAGTGATCAGGCATCAGGAACATCATCAGATGAGGTGCAGTCTCCAGTCCGAGTGCGCATGCGGAACAACCCGGCGCGCAAGATTTCCACTGAGGTATGTGGGTGCTGGCTGGTGATGATGGATGGACAGCTTAAGGTGGGAACAAAGAGTTCTCTGTCTCCCATTATAATGGGCTGTTTTTGTAAGGAGAGGTGTGAAAGGAATAAAGATGTCCTGCTTCTCAAGTTACATTCTCCTAACTTCAGTGGTTAGGGAAGGCAAAGTCTACCCCAAGTAACCTCAGATAAAGTAAGACAAACATTTGATAAATGCATAGATTTTGCACAGAATTCCTCGCCGGGTTTGTACTGCATGCTAGACTAAATTAAACTAGGGTTGGTTTGTTAGCGGTTTATTTACATCAGCGGTTTATTTACCTACCGCCCACTTTTGTATTTCTGGTAGTATTAAAATTTTCTAACCGCCCACCAGTTCCACAGTAATGGTGA